CTTTTTTGCGTGACGTTCAAAAGTGCCTGTTGTGGTCTACTTGAAATATAGTATTTGATTTATAAACAACATTCTAGGTACATATAGATCATATACATATATTATGGTAGTTGATACATATGGAATCCGAAACCTGGATACAAAATGCAATACAGCCAAGTCTCACGTAAATGCTAAGGTTATATAATTATCGCTATGTAATCATAATTAATGAAATGGACTTTAAACTGAAAATAGATAGCTTTAATTTTTTATTTACTAAGATACGTGTGTGCTAAGTGGTTTCCTGCCTTCTGACTGAACTGAACTGACTTACTACCAACTCCTGGGCTGGACTGCCACCATCTACTACTATACTCCGTCCACCTAAAGGGTTGCCTTGTAGAGATCGCTTTTAGCGATAAGGCCACCTTTGTACCCTGTTCTACTGTATGTTATATACGCATGTCAACTCTTTCGTGTACAATATAGCCAATAAGAGCTTCCTCTCTCCTATCCCACTTACTTTGCTGTACCCGACAGGGTCCATGTGAACTATTTATAAGTACTACCACCTAAGAATACATGTGGAAAGCAATAAAGTATTGAGTATTGAGTACAATAAAGTTTATTTATTTATCTAGTTATTACTAAGGTTTCGACTGTGTGTCTACCTATCATATCGATAGGTAGACAGTAGAAATATAATTACTGATGAAATGAACTGAAATCAATTTTCTTTAGTCGCAATAAGAAAATAGAGAGAATTAATAAATAAAAAAATAACTAAGGAGGTTCCTATACAATGAGCGTGATTTTGATACGATTCTCTTCGTACTCGAAACCGACTCGCACTTGTCGAGTTTTTAAAAAAAGAATACAAATCCTTCCCAAACGTAATGGCTGAGTATTTTCGCCAGCTGACTGTACAAGAAACTCAATTAAAATTAGTCCTTGCCTCAAATGAAAGATTTACGAATCATTCCATTTGACATTGTTATAAATGGAATTCCTAATTCAAATTCGGAACGCAGGTCATCGTTTACGCTAATATTTATTTATGCTTTGATTATCTTAGTTATAATCCTTGATAGTTGGTAGTTGTAATATATGCATTAACATTAGATCATCGGGAAACCTGTTCAGTAACCTTTGAGTACAGCATCACGAATGGTAATGAATATTTGAGGACGTTTGAACGAAGAATTTACGGAAGCTCAATGGCATCTGAGTTTATCAACTTTGTTTTTTTAGAGGTAGAAATGAATATTCTATACTACTATAATATTATTTTTTTTTGTTTGAATTGCATATTCTGAGAAACGTATGGATCGTATTGAATGTTTCTTTGACTATTGCAATTTAAATTTTACGGAATATAGTAATATAAACTTTTTGTTCCGTTGTTCTTACACTCGGGAAAACCCGCGGGTAGAAAGTTGGTGTAATAAAATAACAAATTTGCAACAGTACTTAAGGTTATTGTCGCTTAACAAAAAACTATTGAGAATCGTGATAATAATATCGAACAATATAATGTTCTTAATTTTTATTTCAAACGAATCTGAGGCTTAATACTCTAAGTTAAAGTCACCTTTGATCAAGTATTGTAAGTGTCTACTATTTGTTTTAATATGAAGACTAACAGTTTGTTCCATGAGAACCATCTTAAAAATAAAATAGTATGAGTACTTTATTATGCTAATTACGTAAATGCACAGCAATAAATTTTAATTAACTTTCAGAAAAACATATTATTCTCATCCGAATGAATGGCTTGAAGATAAGATACGCTTTACAATAAAAGAAAGATTGCATAGTTATTTTTCATCTTAAGCGTTTCCACGAAAATGTTCTGAACGGAAAACGTAGGTACTAGAAAATTCGAGTTTTCTTTAGAAAATTTCAAATATTCTATGTTCTCAAATAAAATAGTTTCTTGATTCTTTAGTTTCTATAAAATTGCACCTCAAGAGTTTACACAAGTAAAATAAACGACGGTACAATGTTTGGTGCCGAAATACAACTTGAGCAACCTAACCTAAACAAGTTTTGGCTCGGTTCAAAAACAAACCATTCAGACGACAGTGTCCGTCCCATAACGCAATTAGCTTGTTATATTATTATATTCGGCTAAACATTCAACCACATAAAGGTACACACATTTGTATTTTATATAATAACGGAATGCCGTGAGCTATTAAATTCTACGTACATCTTCAGATAAGGCAGACATCTGTTTTATTGCCGGCAGTCGATACTCTTAAGATAATGCACGTAAACAGATATCGTTCGAGAGTTATCATGAGCACAACATTAGCTGATGTAAAGCAGAACGACCTCCGAGTCGGGCAGATTCGTTCCGCTACGATAAAGGGATTAGCTCGTCACGGCGCACGGCATTTGTTATATTCCTGTTGCTATACCTACGTGCTTTGAGGAAAACGTTTATACTTAGGATATGTCGATAAGTACCTGGCCAAAGAATCGTTCCCTCGCAGCCGCCATACTCTCCGTCCGAGGTGAATTTGATCCTGATCTACTATCGTTAGCCTGTTGCGTCTCGTTCTCCTCCTGCCGCGGGGACAGCCCGTCGGGCACGTCCACGGCTGCCGGACCTGCCTGCACCAGCGTCTCCGCCGGTGCAGCTTTCTCGGAGCCGTCTTCTGCCATCGTCGCCACTGTCTGCACGGCTCCGTTACCTTTTCCACTACTCACACTACTATTCTTCTTGCTGATACCCTTTAGTCCTTTCGTCTTTTTCTTGTTCTTCACCTTCTTAGGCGGCTTGCCCACAGGGAAGCGTCCGCTGGCGCAGCACTGCACGTTACCCATGACGGTGCGCGCGCATGTCGCGGTTTACTCGATCGGCGGGAGTCGGCTCGGTCGGTCGGTCGTTCGAAGCGCGTCGGCGTCGGCGCCGACTCGCAGAATGAGTGCGGCGTGAGAGTCCCCGGCGTCGCGGCGCCGCCCACCCGCCCCGGAATTTTCGACGTACTTCAGAATCACACTGACCGCTGATTACGCGGATGCCGTCCGCGAAGGATCGCACCCGAAAGCCGAACCGCGAGCCGGCCGCGCTGGCGTCATCGTGCGCCCCTGCCTCCCGCGCGCCGCAAGGTCAAGGCGCGCTCATTGTTCCCGCTGGTGCTACTGGCTAGACGCGCGCCGCTCCGCTCAGATGGCCGACAACTATGCCTGGCGCACCACCACCACCACAACACGCGACCCTCTTCCAACTGCTATCGATCACGCGATGTTTATGTTTGGCTGCCACGGGAACGGCACTGTACCTCGTCGATGGCGTCACGCCATTTGAACACCCCAAGCTTGCATATCGTTGACACGGTTGCCGTGAAAACTGTTGATTTTGCACTAGTCCGTGTGTTACCGTGAATGTATAGTTACTAGTGTAACTGCGGCGAGCAATGTTTTGTTATCGTGCGCGCGAGAGGCTGATAGTGTGCGAGGCGCACGTGTCGTGTCCGTCGCCGAGTAGCCGTAGTAAATAAACCGCCGGCTGCTTGTAAACGACATGCGCCGCGGAAAACTGACGCACAGTGATACCATATTAGTTCATATAAATTATATTATTCAGTTAATGAACAGGATATCCAACAGCGATTTGTTATATTTAGAACGAAAAATACCTAATTGTTATTACATAATTACAAATACAATAGGGAAGCATAATTGTTAAGTATAAACAATAATTATTAGGTATTATTTATTTCTTACATTAATTAGAACAAAAATCAAACCGTGTCGTTATTTTCAATTTTTATATGTTTTGAGGAATTAAAAATATGGATTGTATGATATACGCAGACTGACAGAATTGGATGGTTTTTGTTATGAAATTTAACGTATAGTGTACATATATAAACATCAGAACAAAAATTTTACATATATTTCATACTCATTAGATACTAACGAACCAAGACATTATTTTGTAGGAATGCGGTACATTTAGGTAGATAATATGTAGATCCTATAACTACGTAAATAGCACAGTTAAAAACTGAATGCTCAGATAACTTTTTCATATATTTTTTTTGCGTTATTCTTCTTACATTTGCCGAAAACGAATCATTATGCCACTTTTCTCTTATAAATTATTGTCGTACAGTACTTATTTTAATATACATATAATTTGCACTATTTGATTATTGATATTGCTGTACCTGCTTGTGGTAAACAAAGAGAATAGTTTTAGTAACTTTTAACTCTTAGTAACACATAGATTCAAGACAAGAACACACGATTTATGACGTTTTGAACATAAGTTTTTGTAAATAACAAAATCATTGTTGTCTTAAGTCAAAAAAAATTAAAATCTAATGCGTTTCGTCCCATAATAGTAAGTATTTCTGACGCATCTCTTTTTGTCTCTTCCTATGAACATCTTTTGGCAAAGGTCTTACGAATATCATTCAAAACATGTATTTTATTATCCTTTTCTTTTCTTGTATTGTATGAAGGTACCTATGTTTAAGTACGATTGACTCTAGTGAATAAAATTGAACCTAGTTAATTAAAACTAATTAAGCTTTAATTAAAATTCGGTATGCGCAACGTGCCAAAAATATTGTAAGGAAGAATACCATAGTGTGACAGAACATTGTGGCCCAGTTTCTCAACTTTCCATCGCCATAATAAAACACGGAGCGGCGCCGACCTGCGCACGCGCACGACGAAACACATGCTATTTACGATTCAGATATGGGACGCGATTTGAGCGAGAGCGATAATGTTTATTTATTGTGAATATTAAAAATATGCCAGACACCTTGATCGTGGTTTATGACTGAGCTTTATACATATAGATACTGACTTACATTTGTATTGCAGAAAATTACGGCTACTAAGGTTAATTAAGGTCAGCATAGAGATGTAGGATTTCTAAATAAACACTTTTACTATACGCATTTTTTCTAAAAAGCTGACTTGTATCTTCTATGGCAAATAAAGAGAGTCTTTCTAAAGTGTCTTTCTAAGACAGCAACTCAATATTTATTTATTTATAAAATGCATATCCCAGGTTTTTTATGGGATAGGCCAGCAAAAAGAACAGGTGGATAACCTGATTGCAAGCAATCATCACCTCCTGTGGACACCAAAGAAGTTGCAAGTGCACTATCAGTCTTTTGGGGGAATTGAGGATTGATAATTTTAAATACAGAATTTACAGTGAGTACTTAGTGTCTTGTAAATACTATGTGAAAGACCTCTACAGAGGTTAGAATAAAAAAATGTAATAATTACTTAAAATTAATTATTGTAAACAAAAATATTATTGAATACCTAGCGAAACATAATTTACCAAAAATTTGAAGATTAAATGATTTGATCTGATTTGAATCTTTCGTTCAAAATTACTGGCTAAACAAGAAATTACTATACTATTACACTGTGAAAAATAAAATTAGTATACTACCTATATATTACAAAGTGGGCAGAAGAAATGAATAGCGGCTTTGTATATGTATTTATAGTTACTGTTTGAAACCTTGTATCTAATAATAACTGCCTATGTATTACGATTCAAAAGATTGTAATGACCAAGTTATTTCTTTCTATACGATAGTAATGCATAGAAACATGTAACTCTTATATGGGATGACAAACAAGCAGACGGATTGCCTGATGGTAGGTAAGCAATTAGCACTGCCCATTTGAACTCGCAACAATCCTAAAAGAGTTACGGGTCTTTTGCCGGCCTTTTTTAGAGGTCAGGATTTTGAAGATTTAAGGATTAGGAAGGGATGGGGTGAGGGAAGAATTCGACCTCATTTAAGCTCACTCACACAGCGGAAAACAACATTGTGATTGTTTCATCTGGTCTTTTGTGAGGCCGTGGATCACTCCAGACGAGCCGACCCATTGCTGCCAAAACATGGCTTTAATAATTGTTGGCAAAGTGCCTAAAATAGCTGAAGAATTAAATAACACTAATTCCAGTTTTTTTACACTTCAGATATGGTCTTAGTCAGGAGAAGGTGAAAAAAGAAACACGAATGCCAAAGTGTGTCACGTCAAACATATGTCATGCAGGTTATTCAAAACCTGGAAAAACCCAATTCGACTTTTCAGAGTAGCATGTATTTTCCAAGTCTTTTCAGATATCACTGACTTCGATGAAGGACAACATCGTCAGAAAACCTATCCAGTGTGTGTTGGGTTCAGTATAAGTGACATATTCAAATTATAAAATTGAAATTTTGAATCCAGAACTCTTTTGTAAGGAAAACTGCAAGAAGAGACCTTTGCTAAGCAGTGGACGCTTATAGGCCAAAACGTACACTATGAAAATAAGAAAAAAAAGCAGAAAATTATTTTGTGTCTTAATTTGAATTAGGTAAATGGGCTGAATTGCAACACGTTCCAATTTTGTTCGCTTATAACAAAAGCTATTTATGACCGCAGTTCATATACTACGGTCCTTCTATTTTTGGATTCTTGACTGACTTAGTTGAAACTGTATCTACAAATACTAGCTTCTAAAATTCTTTGGTTAGCAGCTTATATCAATAAGGAAAAAAATAGCAACATCAATAAAACTGATTTCAATATTGATGTGCATTTGTATCAAAAACGTCCAAAACAATATAATTATAAATATTGTCCATTTCTAGCGTAAAACATTCCACCAAGTTTTACCACATCACGACTATATTAAAAAAGGAGTAATTACTTACCGTATCCGCATCACTCTCTTCAGTAGCCATAGCCACTCCTTTCTCCAAATGCTGTTCAGCATTATCCAATTCTCTGTCCAGCTCAGCGGATTCGATCTCGAGCTGAGGAGAAGACTGCAGTTCCTCTACACCAGGAGACGGAGGATCAGGGTTAGTTTGAAGCATGTGACGAGCTGGCATTTTCACTACCAGAGGTCTGAAGTTTAGACGTGAAGGACCTGCAAACGCACGGTATAATAAATATATACGTATATTGAATTTTATTTTTATTTGTAGAGATATAATCGTCTCTAGCCCAAATTTTCCCACGAATGTACGGCAAATCAAATGGTGTTTAAAATACGAAACTGCATAAAAATGACCACTTTCGCCCCTGTTTTACACGGGTGTGTCAATTGTGGAATGTTCTATTCTAAAATTCGCTTTCATTAGAGCCTTTTCCTAATCATTATAAACACAGCAAAAATAAAAAATCGTCAAAAATTGGTCTAGGCGTTCTTGCGGTTAGTTAAACAAACTGCTTTTTTAATTTTTGATTTTCACCGGTGGTCATTTTGATTGCGTTTGCAAATTTATAGTCTTATCCAGAACCGAAACAACCGAACTTGACCCCGCGTGCTTCTACTTACTGTTAAAATAAATGAATGCTACTCTTTGTGCCGATTTACCAAACAATACTAATTAAACCTTAATGACTTGTTACGCTTATTTAATATCTAAATCAAGTACTTAAATCATACTAAAAACACAGCAAACAGTAATGAACTGGAGACACTAGACAAACGTGGATACTATGGTACTTTTACATTTTATTAAAATTCCTCCTATTGGTTTTCTTACTCAATTCCAAATTTTATGCTAATAACGAAACTCGTTTATTTTTAAGCCGAAAAGATTATCCATTTGTCCTTGATAGACTTCAGAAAGGATGCCTTTAAGCTTTGTATGTTCATGTTTCTTTTTTTTTGAGGGGAAAATCATCCTATGCCTGCTCTCGCTTCTCTCGAGAGATATTGTCAGATTATTTCTAACTAAAAACCACCCCGTTATTTTTTCTGCTCCAGGTCGGGGCTGAGATGCATTATTGCCCTTGTACCGCAACTCCAGGTAAACATCAGCCCTTTGAGGCACGTTCATATTCCTTTAGACGTTAACTTGTACTGGCGATACCGTCTACACAACTGTAGTTCTAATCTCTCTAATGTCTTTGTAAACAAATTACGCAACCAACTCATAACGTAGGTACAGTTTAACCTTGGCGAGAATTAAAAAGAGGTTAAATTGTATTCTTATGTAAGTTATGTTAAGCCAATACAAATTTAAATGCGGTTTTTAATTCAACACATTAGGTATGAATTAGCGATTATTTATCTGTCTTCCAGTTAACAAGTCGTGTCGTTTCTAAATTAAATTAAATATCTTCCTATTCTATCTGTTTCAATTACTTTACAAATGTACCTATTTATAGGTACTGTCACTTCTGGACAGGACGTAGTGCTTAGTTCACATAACAACGTTAGCTTATTAATAACTTAACTCACCTTTTCCGTCATCTTTTTGCAACTTCTTCATAACCTCTCGTGCGCTGTGGAGCGTCTGTGTTGCAGTAGAGTGGATAGGCCTTATAGACACACGCTGCAGCCCACTACCCGGCAGAATGGACGTCACAACTTTCCTAGGTTCCTCTCTCTCAGGACTCTTATACTGAGTAATCAAACCTTCATCCTGATCAGCATCTATATCTATAAAGCATTCCTCAAATTGCTCAAAGTTCTCCAGATCAGAGTCTAGTTCACTTCTGGAACCGTGCATTTTAGGCCTGTAAAAGGAGTCCGAATTTCTCCTGTAGTCCATCTGCTTTGGATCTGGTGTGGAGTAACTTCTTATGATGTAACCTCTTTGGGTGGTTTGAGGGGTGGCATCTGGATCGTTTTGTGGCGCTGGGGACGAGTAGCTTCGTGGCAGCAAGCTCCTTGTACTCTGCGTTTTGCGCTGCTGCTGCTGCATTGTCCTTGTCGAAATTAAGCTCTTCCCTCGACCTGCACTCTGTGCCTGCTGGCAACTGCTTGAAGACGGATCTTTACGCCGCATGGCGCAGTTTTACGCTGTTCAATCGTCTCCTCAACGTGTGGAACAGTATGGATCTCGGGACCAACTGACATGCGGAATAGCACGGCTGCAACTTGTAAGATAACTTTGTGATCTATTGATATCGAATTCCAGCTGATTGGATTACAGTATCACATAACAAGGCCGGGTGCAGCCAGATGATATATCATATGCTAAGGAACAGTGAACACGATCGCCTAATACTTCTGTATGCAGATGGTAATTTGGTGGCACACGCCCTGATTTTAATCTATGATCAGATTCACAATAGATTTATTATAATCTGTGGTTCACGATTCACACTACTGTATCTAAAGGTTGATTCAATTACGAAATAAGGTCTTATCCACGTGTTTGATATCGCACTTCCATGCACCGCAAACATTTATCTGTCACTTATCTTCGACACTTAACGTAGTATAAATAAACATACTCCTTTTGCGAACACCAATTGTTTCTAATTCACATGCACATGGCAACTATTATAGCGATAAATGATAGCTCAATAACTTTTAGTTACTTATTTATATTTGTTGTACTTAAATGTTATTTTATAAGTGTATGACGTGAGATATACAGCATGCAACTAAGCTTGATGTATTCAATGTAAACGAAGAACCTTGCGTACGCGCATCGTGGGCGGACAACTTTCTCTTTTTAGGCCATGCTCCATTGATATTAAAAGCATAAGAAGCCACTCCTACTTAGTACTTGTTTATTTACCTACACATTAATCTACTTGTAAACATGTTATAAATAGTCGTAAAATAAAAGTTGTAAAATAAAAAGTAATCTAAAAAGGTACTTAGTATAAACCTCTTGCTCGCTATTGAATAAGTACAAAAAACTGATTGATGAAAATAACATAGGTATTGAAGTTTAACCGCAAGAAGTATCAACAAATCATATTCGATAATGCAATTTTTAATCCATGCAACGCCTACATTGAACCAGATAACTATGTCATTACTCTCACGACCTTAATGACTGAGCTTGGTGGATATAATTTCAAAATTTAAAACACAAGAATACTTTTTCTTGCTAATGGACCATGATAATAAAACAAGTTATACTTTAATTTGCAAGTCTCTTTAACATTCTCTCTTATCACAAACCACATGGTCTTCAATATCATTCAAAGATACGATTTCAATCGTTTGGACCTCATTTGTTTTAGAAGATGACACAAAGAAACGGTGTATAGATTTTTGATTTGGTATCCTCTTGCTTTCACAAGTCTTTTTCTCCACATTATTATTCTGTTCTCTCTTTTTTTCCTCTTTTTATTCTTTCTTATATTATTTTTATATATTTAACTTTACGGTTCTTAACTTCTAGTAGAGTCTACTAGACAAATAATTTTGTTTTCTATTTCATTCTGACCTGAGAAATATCGCATTATGGCTTGGTACGTTAATTTTCCTTATTTAGGGGGTACATCATCAAATTACTACTGCTAATCATGAAATGTTGTTCTGTAGAGATGGATAGCAGACTTCTTGAGGGATCGATCTACTCGAGAAGGTAATCGTCGATGGCTGCTCGTCTGACCAATTCGGTATCAATGCCGAAGTTCTTCAGGGGCCAGTACTTTCAGCAATGCTCTTTTTGCTGCACATAAGTGGACTGATAAGACCTTTGAGTATAACTACAGATTGCAAATTTTGTTGAAATGTTTCCGAGGCGCGGACTAGCGGAACACAGATCCGGTCTCTATGGAAATTTATGGCTAAACGCCAACGGTTGAGCCCATCCTTGAAGGCAGTCACCGACCAGGGTGGCGACAACTTGGTAAAGTTTTACGCTAGAAAAACTCGGCGGGTCTATTATTAAACGGAGTCAATTTCTACTGAGTCCTAATTTCTGATATGTCTGTTTCGGTAACTGACCATCTTGAACTTCTTGGCGTAACTCTTACGACCACCCTTTTTTGGCTCCTACATAGAACTGGTAGAAAGTTAAGCATCTGGTTGAGGGTGAGTCAATACTTCACGTGGCAAAGACTGCTTAGCCTATACTAAGCGCAAGTTCGTTCCTATATGGTATACTGCTCTCATTTATGAGAAGACTCCATTAAATACCAGCTAGACACATAGAGTTCCAAGTGAGTGCCAAGAGACTCCTTAACGATGATGCATTAGTGGAAGCCCGACAAAGAGTCAAACACAGGCGCGAAATTGCGACCCTTCTAGTTTTTAATCCGATAAGTTATTAAAATTATTGTAAGTGTAGATTTGCTTATTCGAGATAGATGATAAAATTGTGACATAATAAGCTCTAGGTATACTACATCTGAGACTTTTAAGAAGTTATAAGCACATTATTAATATGCAATATTTTGGTTTGCACAACTTCATTTTTGTTCACCATCAACTTTTTACACAGAACAGAAAATAAAGTATTTTCTATTCCGTATTCTGTATTTTCTATTCCGTGACTTTTTACATTCATTAAAACTTTTGTATTCTGCGCCATCTATACACTTAATCGCTAACTACAGGAGTGTTTTACTTGCTTGTTTGCATTTTATTTGCAGAAAGTGCCGTTAGATGGAACCACTAGTGGAAATACATATTAACTAATTTAGTATGATAATATTCTTACTATGGGATAAATAGCTTATTAAAATCATCTTCAATCGATATTCGATTTCGAAGTAATACGAAGTTTTGAACGGGACAAGAATGTTCGTAGTGTTTATTTTTTTAAACATGATTTATTGCGAATATAACAGTGATGTTTTCTTCTATAATGTATTTTATTTTAAACTGAGAATGAACGGTTAGAGCAGTTGCTGGGTAACGTCACGGGTTTCAATTCCCGCACGGAACAACTCTGTGTGACTGTGATCCACTTATTGTTATTGCGGGTCTGGGTGTGTGTGTGTAAGTGAAATTATATGTTTGCAAACACGCCCACAACACAGGAGAAAATACTAGTGTGAAGCAAAATTATTAAAAAAAAACTATGTATTTCGGATGAAACACGCAACTTCTTAATTATTTTGATATTTTTAACATTAAATTTTACATAAAATAGGATAATTTCCGATTAGATATTTAAAAATAAATTATGGATAGAAATATGCAATATGTACTATGAAAATTATACAATACAGAAGTATCGCATATTATTAAGTATGTGTTTTTGTCCTATTTGTTACTTGTGTTGGCAAAATAAACAAAATTAAATAACTAAGCTCCCTGCATTATGTACGTAGGTTGGTAGGTACCTATAATACTGCGCAAAGAAGAGAAAGGAGTCTAAACTAGTTTCTTTACCACTAGAGATGTTCCTTATCATAACTTTTACATATCGATAAAATATTAAACTAAAATCAACGATATAATAGGTAGTAATAGTCTCCCGAAAAAAATTCGTAATTCAAAAATATTAGACGTCTCAGGACTGACGTAGGTAATAATAAATTATCTTTATCTTAATCAGTATTTTTTATTTTTTATTTTTTTTTTTGTAAAAAGCTCGTAGCATACTGTTTTTTTTTTAATATTTTGGTAGAGTTTTTTAAGAGGTAGGTGAGCAAACGAGCCATCTGTTTACCTGATGGACACTCTTTACACCCGAGGAGTTACGAATGCATTACCGGTCTAATAGGATTAGCATTTCAGAGGTTTAGAGATTTGGAAAGGATGGGGGGAAAGGAAGGATTGGACCTCCGGCAACCTTATTCACATGGCGAACACAACGCAGTGGTTATTTCACGGCGGTTTTCTATGATGCTGTGTTATCACTCCGGTCGAGGTGACCGGTTCGTGCTGAAGCTTGGCTCTCCTTCACTTATGTATGTAAAGTTTAGGTGTAATATATTTTTTTGCAAGTTCCCTGACACCAAATTATACATCTAAGTTTATTCCTCTTTTTGTGAGGCAGTAATGCTCACAAAGGAGGAGGCGGAGCACGAGAGGGAACTGTCCTCCTCACGCCCCAGCCTGCGACATTCCGGGCGTCGGGGATCGAGAGATAATCTCCGGCCACCGTAAGTGCAAGTCTTCGGATGGCGAGTAAGGGTACGGGTACGAGCGTACGGCGCGTAGCCGCGCGCGCCTCAAAGAGCCAATAGACCACCACAGACGGGGTCCTATAGGGCTGACGTTCAGTTGGGGATGCGGGGCAAGCGCATCTCCTCGGCCCAGAGCAGGAGAAGGAACGGGGGGGTTGTTAGTCAGTATGAGTCTGACACTCCCTGAGCGGGAGAGGTCTTTGGATGATTTTCCCGTCACAAATAAAATTTGTTTTTCACTCAAATAGTATAGTCCGGTCAATTTAGACATTCGAAGTTACATAAAGTCCCAACAAGCTAAAAAAACATAATTATAAATAATGCCTAGAAGTTCCCCATCATTCCCCTGTAAGGAAAAGTTTTTATTCAAGGTTGTTTTACTTTATGTAACTTCACTCTCATGTTTTGGTCTAAATTGACCGGACTATTAAAGAATATGACACATTTCTTGTAAGTACGTTTTTTTTTATTTATTTGCAGAAAACGTTGTATTTATGAACTATGGCTGTGACTATCTTTAAAATCAAATTAAAATTATTTAGATGATTTTTGAAAAAAAAATAAAAAAAAAAGAAAAACATAACCATTTCTTTTCCGTGTTTTGAATTTCGAAAGTACGTTTTGGCAGTTGGGATTTATAAAATGCAACGAGAACGAAGTCAATATAATTTTCACATTCATCACTCAAATAAGATTTATAATAATTGGCAAATATAAGTACTTAAAAGTGTGCTTATAAATTCACATCACTTAAAATTCGTAGAAATTGTTATTATGCATGCAAAATAATAAGTATACCATTTATGTAATAAATTAAGTTGGATAGCTTACAAAATCTATTCGAGGTATGTTTTAGATTTCTAATATACACTAGGTAATCTAGATAAACAAAAATTCGAAATGTTTCTAGAAACTATTTTGGAAAGTTTTTGATGATATCATCACCTTCTAACAGTTTAGC